TTAAATTGATGGCTTTATTTGCACTACCTTTAGATAGCTATAAGCAATGATGCACAACACAATGGGAACAACACAATGGGAATGCCGATTAGACCTGGATTAGAACCTGAATCATTGATTCATTGAAAGAATATAGACTCATACAAGAGGGATTTGTCCACAATTTGCACATATAGCCCTGATTCTAAGCTACATAACATTCAAAGTCTAATGTGGGATATTCCTATACCTCAGATTGAAAGATGACTGCTTACCATGTTTTACACATCTGTTTGCTAAACGAGTTTTATTATCCTGTATTGAAGGACGTTTAACTAATCAATGCACTTTTGATGCGATTTCAATTTTTCCTTTCTCTTTGGAGTGTTACAAGCTCTTGGTGCATAAAGAAGATCTGTAAAGTTGCAAAGACTAAAGTCTCAAATCCAAAGAGATATCCTTTATAAAAGTTAAGAGTCAGCCACGCCTACCTAAAACGGCTCGTTCTAACACGCCCCCACATATCTACGTCACGATGTGGGAAGATTTGCATAACGCCGCCCAAATGTTTACGCAAAGAAAGAAGGCGTAACTTTTATTCTCGCTATAGTATTGTTGTTGCCGCCGCCATGTCGTGAAGGCGCTGTGAAAGCGAAACTACTTTGTTTGGCCTTCCAAAAGAGGACGATATGGCTTGAGCTGATCCGTGCTGGTTGCTGAGGAAATTAAACAACTTTGCGCTGTGGATCACAGGATCGGCTTTCACTGTGGACGAAGCAGAGTCCAGCCCGGGGTCGCCACATGTGGTTGCCACAAGCCCTCCGGACACTCCTTCGTCGAATCATCATCATCATATGACCCCTTTAAAAGTGAATGTTTATTAGTTGTGTTGATTAATCTTTTGGGGTGCCGTGTTCTTGTAACGTCATGCATTCTCAGCTCTGTGAAAATTTGCAGATTTCCACACAAGTTGTGTTCCAAATTGGAAGTCCACAATCAAAGGACATTCACTGCATCCTAGTATGCCTACTTGCATACTGTATAGTAGGCGAAAAACAGAATGTAAGCCTGAATTCATGCAGTAGTATTCATAAAACTGTAGACAAAAGCACCTGGGATGATTTACTACTTCAGGTGAGATGCATCTGATGGACACTTTACTATCCCATGAGGCCACAGGAGAGGATATGTGAATGACAGTGAATCGACCAGCTGACGCCATAGGTCACATGAGGGTAACAGCATGATGGATGTAGTAGTAATTTCATTCATACTACACACTGTCACATAGCAAATTTCTAACCAAATATAATACTTACTGTACAGTATTTACTTTCAGATGCAGCGATTGTATTGTGGCTTTTCTTACGTTGATTTGAAATGCAGCATCAAAAAATAAAAGAATTTCATAAATGTTAATTGTATTTCTTGTATTTAAATAAACACAAGAAAGAAGGCCAAATGCAGTTATGTATTTATTTAAGTCATTGTAGTCTCGCGTAGCCAGACCTTCAGACTGACGGCAGAAGGTCTGGGAACCTTGGCCACTTTGAATGGCCAAGGACCCCCAAGAGGCCGTATGACTGACAGGTAAAGCAACCAGTCACGTTTCGTTTTGTGCCGCGTCATTTTTGGGGGCGAGGAAATGTCCCCACAATAACAGACCAGTGTGTAAAACTCGAACTTTACATATTTGCATTTATTTGATCCTGATAAGCGCTCATTGTCACAGTTGTAAACATGATGGCTTTCTTCTTCCATGAGGTTTGGCATCACAGCATCTTTGTTTCCAGGAGGAATGTTAAAGAAAGTGACACACATCTCCCGAAAATCCTGTATAATTCAGATCAGATTACGACTTCGAAACTCCTGAAGTGTTTCCAATTTGGTGTGCCGTATGCATCAGACGTTCAGCCAACGGTCCGTGGGCGTGATGTCTGAGGCTTAGTCTGAAGTCATTGTAATATTTGCATGCATTGCATTACATTTGGTCTTTACTGGCATACTGCTTGATACTCAAATTAAAATATCTTGTCACTAGCTATGTTTTCATCCAAAATTGTGGATTAAATCAGTGCTAAAAACTGGAATATCGCATGAAACATTTTCAAATAAAACAACGTTTCCATCCCAAGTGTTCGAAAGAACAAAATCTGCACTTCAAGGGAAACTGGCGCAAAGTATAAGTAATAAAACATTGCTGCAATTGGGAAAGCCTGTTAGCTCATGAAACGCACAAACACACATTGTCATGTTATCTTGCTTTCAGAAGCGAATGCATAATATTTGGGAATGCAATTGTGTGAGAAATTTCTGGTAGGTAATTATACCAAATAATTTTGATGACTTCAGCTAAGGCATTTCATAATGACTTAGACAATATTTTAGACGGTGTGCAATGAGATTGGTCCACTGGTTAGTTGAGTTATCCGGTCAAATGATCTGTTGAGGCAAAATCATGTTTCTGGTTGTGCATCCAGGAATATATTCAGGAAATGTGTTTCCATCATAGTTTACGCACATTTTCCTGCCAAAAAAAAAAAAAAATTCTGCCTCAGTTGAGTGCATACATTTTTTTATGTTCATTTTAATATTTATGCACATCTTGCCATTTTCATCCAGTGTTTTTTATGCAATATTCCAAAATTTGCATAAAAGTAAGTGGATGGAAACACAGTTAATGACAAACAGACCACAATCTCCTTTAAATACAACTGATGGCTAAACTCCCTAACAAAGTGATTAGTGTTGTAGTCCATCTCCATGTTGGCACGGGCTGTGCCTCTGCTCAGGGAGCTTCACAGCGGTGTTGAGTGAGCATTAGCCCTGACCCGGGGCAGGTTCTGCTTGAGTGGCTTTACTCATGGCCTGTCTGACCACTGGAGAGGAAGAGAAGATCTCCTGCAGGGTTCAACTGTCATTCATAAAACTACCAACCACTGCACTACTACAGACTCCCAGACACATTTATAATGAATGAGGTGTGTTTTTTGATGTATCAGTGACATTTGCCAAACTTTACATGGCTTTCGTTATATATGAGAACCATGAAAATTTTTGAAGGTGCATGCATGTTTTTTTTCCCTCTCATTATTTGGTATAAAGAATAGCTCTTCTGATTAATGTATGAAGGAATAGTTCACCCAAAAATTACAAATTGGTCATTATTTTATTGTACAACAAATACTGTATATTGCCTATAGGTTGGCTGTCAGTGACATCAAATCTCATTTGTTCTTGATAATGAGCTGATGCTTCACATAATCTAGCTGCTATATGTTTGATATAACAGTTTCAAAATTATACAAAATTATAATACGACCCAAGATTTGCTACGGTTATTGTTCAATAATTGTATAGTGGGTTGATTTTTGGAGTTTCAAGAATGAAGCAACTTGCTGCGGTGGTAATATCTTTACATTTTTGGTTGTGCATTGTGCATTTAGTGAGTGAAATATTTTTGCACCTTATATGTAAGGAATGATTTAAGACTTGTTTGCTATTTTTACTGTTCCGTTTTCTGTGTATAGCAGCAAATATAGGCTTGATGTAGATCCAGTATTGAGCATCAAAAACAGCGTCTGGATGTATTTAGTGACTTTTTATATAGCAAATTTGTTACACTCTTTTTAAAGTAGATTCTAATGCTGTTTCACATCAGTCACTTTAACAGCCAAATAAACTAAACTCTGCTGTCAGTTGGACTCAAATCCACACCAAAAGCTCTAATGTGAAAGTGTCTTGACTCTTGAGCCTCATACACTGATATTTAGTCTGCTCTCATGCCCGTGCCAGTATCTGCCACTCAAGATCACGACCTGAGTTATTGATCTTAGGAAAGTGGATTAACAAGACAGTCATTAAGATTTAGTGATCTCTGCCTGCACAATGACATCAAAAGCTGTAGTCTGTCGATATACTGAGAATGGATTGAGTAGGTTGAGTACAGTAAGATTGTGTGGTTTAAAATCATTTGATTGTTCTGTTTGTTCATGGCTGACATTATATTATGGTAGAAATTTTGATATTTGAACATTTGAAGATGTACTTCATCCAAATGAAACAGCATTTGTAACCCATTATACTGTTGTAATATGAGTGAAATGCTTTTCATTTTAGAGGAGTGTTAATTTAGTATGTTTGAGATATTATTATAGTTTCTTTCTTTTTTTCTTTTTCTTTTGGTTAAAGTTTTAGTAATTTAATTGTTTTGTTATTTTTTATTAGTTTTTAAAATGTCTACATAGTTTATTTCTTTTATTTTAGTTAGTTATTTAGTTGTTATTATCAAGTTAAACTAAATTACAATTAGAAATTTTTCCTTCACAACTGGCTGAAATAAAGTTTTTTATGTTTATAATTAAAATATTTGTATTTTATTTTACTTAACATTTATTTCCAGTAACTAACTATTTATTTTTTTTATTTTTTTTTATAGTTAACTATTATAACACTGTTCCAGAGTAATTAGTCTCATGGCCATTACGACTCGAGGTAATTGGCTCAAAAATAATTTTATTCAGATTTGAGTGTGCATGAGCAAAGATGGCACAATTCACTTTGCGACTGAATCAACTTGTTTCTCAGACCTCCTTGGTAATGTTATTCAGAAAGTAATATAGTACAGGTATTGCATTTTGAAGATAAATTACAAACAAACTTACATGCACATTGTTCACAAAACACCCAGAAACATGTATTAAGAAAGTAAATTTCATGCTTTCAGGCAGAGCATTTAGTGCAACTCAACATTATTTTTCTTGCATTTATAATTTCCTTCATATACTCATCTAGCTTCATGCAACTCCAATCTCTCAGCAAGCAGACACAGAAAATGTGCAATTTGCAGTTCATAAATCTCCCTCTTTCTCCCTCCCTCCCTTAGCGACAGCACTCCCCTCTTATCTTGTCGTCTTTAGCGTCACAGGAGCATAGCGAAGGAGCGTCCTTGTGCCCTAAGCTCGAGAGAGAGAGAGTGAGTGTGAGGCAGAGGGAGGGGAGATGCGGCGTCAGTCAGCTGCAGTAGGCAGAGGACAGCGGCAGCAGTGGCTGCTGTTTGCTATTGTTCAGCCAGAACGTTCTCCTTTTCGCTCCAGCCAACTAGACATTGAAGCCGAGGAGATCCGCCACACGCGCTGTTCCTTCAGGGAACACTAACTGAAGAGGCACGCAAACTCTTTCAGTCTGTGTGACTGAACTTCTTTCTCTGCTCTCGTTAGGGTTTCTTTTCCTCCTGACCGAGTGGATTTTACCCGACTCAGGGGAGCCATGGGACTTGGGGTTAGGGGTGCAAGGACAGCGCCCCTATGTTTATGGAGGTTATTTTTACTGCTCTGTGGAATCTGGACCGCTTGCTCCCAAACGACAGGAGACGGGAAGTCACTGTACTTCTGGGAGACAGGTATATGGCTATTTCCATAAGTACCTTGATGGATGTAAGTGGGATGTGAAGGTTCCAGACTGGCTGTTTGCACAAAGTTGCATTGCAATTGTTTTATTTTCTGGGCTAAGAAAAAGGACAACTAAAGATCTTCGGTCTAGCTTCAAAACAGCTTCAACGTTTTTGAGTTATTTGTCATCATCCTAATTTCAGATTCTCAAAGTCAGTAAGGTAGAGAAACATGTCCCCATTTCAGCACAGTAGGTTGTCTCCATTTTCCCAGGCTGATTGTTCGATTTCTTGTGCTAGATAACAGCCATATCATTATTATAATGAAATCTGACAATATAATGGAAGGAGCTCTGAGGTACAAAGTAATGGAAGTTATTTGACTTTTGATTTGCAAATGTTCAATATCGCATTATAAAATATGATAAATTGTTAGAAATGTAATAAATATATAATCATTTGTTAAATATTATATTTAATAATTATATTTTGTTTTAATTATAAGAAAATTAAGCCAAATTTTAGGACCATAATATTTTTACATTGTGATATTATTTCATGACAGTAACTCACCTCATCTCCAAATTCTCATTACTGTAATGCAAATATATATGCATTAATACAGTACAACAATTCTATAATTTAAACAGTATATAGACTTTTGTAGTGCATTAATCAAAATCAGTGAATTTTCTGTTTAAAAAAAATCTCATTATTATAATGTTCATTACTGTAATAAAATAATGAAAATAATGATATTGGGAGAGTTTTTGGGCATGAAGCAAAGTGGATAAAACCACTTCACCTGTAGAACTAGCTTATTGTTATTGGTGTGTGAATTTTTGAAAGTGGCTGATCCAATCAGAATTCAGAGTCAGAACTATATATACAGAGTACACTGTATATATAAATATAATATAAATAATAATTACACTTAATAAATATAAACACTTACATCCATTTAGCAGTATGTATGCATGTGTGTTTTTGTCTGTCTGTATGTATGTATGTATATATACATATATATATATGTGACTCTGGACCACAAACCAGTCTTAAGTCACTGGGGTATATTTGTAGCAATGGCCAAAAATACATTGTATGGGTCAAAATTATAGATTTTTCTTTTATGCCAAAAATCATTAGGATATTATGTAAAGATCATGTTCTATGAAGATATTTTGTAAATATATTCAAACTTAATTTTTGATTAGTAATATGCATTTCTTTGGACTTAATCTGGACAACTTTAAAGGCGATTTTCTCAGTATTTAGATTTTTTTGCACCTTCATATTCCAGATTTTCAAATAGTTGTATCTCGACAAATATGCAAAAAATTAAAAAAACAGGAAGGGGGCAAAAACCTTTTCACAGCACTATATATATATATATATATATACAAATTTAAAACGCACATATATAAATTTGTGTGTTTGTATGTATGTATGTATGTACAGTATATGGATATGTGTATATATATAACATTTATTATAGTAATAATAATAAAGACTGACATTCCTTAAAAGGACTTAGGTGAATCGACTGAAGTACAGCTTTCTTCTGCTTTCTGTTCAACATAAAAAAGCATATTGTTCACTGTAAACTTTTATGAAGGTATAATCCTCCAAAAATGAAAAATCTGTCATCATGTGCTCACCCTTATGTTGTTCTAAAACTGTATGCATTTTTTCTTCTGTGGAACACAAAAGACTACATTTTGAAGAATGTTGGGAACCAAACAACATTAGAACTCATTAACTTCCATAGTATCAATATTTCTCAAAATATCTTCCTTTGTGCTTCACAATAGAAAGAAAGTCACATGAGGGTGAGTAAGTGATGACAGTATTTTCTTTTTTCGGGTGAACTACCCCTTTCTGTTAGAAAAACAGCTTCCCTTTACATGCTGAAGGCATCGCTCAGAGCTCTAGTCATGTTTTCCCATATGATTCCGCAAGATCCAAAGTGCACTTTAGGACACTCATTACGTGGCCACGCTTAGAGGCCACATATAGTGGATTCTGCTTATGTTATACTTGTTTCATAATGAATCCATGTGCATAATACCCATGTTCTGTCAGTCATAACATCTGAGCCACATTATTATGAAATGATCAGTATGCTCTGACATAAGGAGGAGGTGTTTTAATTTCACAGGTTCAGCTTAGAATGTTTTTCTTATGAAGCTGAAAAGACTAGATCTTACGGTTTATTTTGGTTTGGTGCTGGTCTGTGATGCTGGTTGACCAAAGATGCCTTGTTGGGACATCAGTATCCACAACACATTTTTGATGACCAACTATTCTTTTCAACAGGATAAGGTTCTTGAGTTGTCTTTATAGATCATTGGAGATTAAGTTGTTGATACATTTCAGGTTCTCCAAATCAGCGTATTGGATTCTGAATTTTTAAAGAACCAATTCATAGATGTTTCTTTCAGAGAAGTAGAGAGTTTGCTAAAGGTTGATTTTGTAGTGATGCTTTAGATCAGGGGTGCCCAAACTTGGTCCTGGAGGGCCGGTGTCCTGCAGAGTTTAGCTCCAACCCCAATTAAACACACCTGAACCAGATAATCAAGCTCTTACTAGGCATGCTAGAAACTTCCCGGCAGGTGTGTTGAGGCAAGTTGGAGCTAAACTCTGTAGGACACCGGCCCTCCAGGACCAAGTTTGTGCAACCCTGCTTTAGATGAACCATTTTAGGTTCCCCAAAGAACCTCTCGGTGAATAGTTCTTAAAAGAACAATTTTTTTCTTGGTGTGAAGAACATTTAAAAAATCTGAAGAATCTTTTTCCACTATAAAGAAAATTTTGTGCATTTGAAAGGTTCCCTAAATGTTAAAGGTTCTTCATGGAACCACAGATGCCAATAAATAACCGTTGTTTTTAAACTGAGTATGATTAGAGTGTATTGTGTTCAACATGTAACACCATGGTTCCATGAAGAACCTTTAACATCCATGGAACCTTTCCATTCCACAAAAGGTTCTTTATAGTTGGAAAAAGGTTCTGTAGATTTTTTAAATGTACTTCACACTAAGAACAAAATGATTCTTTTAAGAGCAATTCATTGAAACCCAAAATGGTTCTTCGCTGGCATCAGTGCGAAAACCTTTATTTTTAAGAAAATGTGTATATTTGTTTTCTTGTATTGCATCAAGCTTAGTTGTGACACGTTGCAAACTATTGGCTGTACTCTCAACCAATAGGAACAGTTAATGCAGACTGAACTTTCGTGTGTGGCCCATGCCTCAGCAGGGTTTATCCACTCTTAGAGCAGAGATTACCCAGATTACGCAGGATTCGCCTCTTGTCTCCTGATCACACAATCCCCCAGGAAAAAAGTTGTGCTGTCAGAGCCACTCACACTTCACACCACGTTACCTACTATAATAAGGCTTGCTAATGAAGCGGGAGCATTCAGGTTGCCTTCTGTTGCCTTCGCACCACCCAACAAACACACACACACACACACACAGGTTTGTTTTTATGGTTTATGGAGACTCGCCATAGGCGTAATGGTTTTTATACTGTACAAACCATATTTTCTATTGCCCTACACCAACCCTACCCCTAAACCTACCCCTCACAGGAAACTTTCTGCATTTTTAGATTTTCAAAATTCTGAATTATTTATAAGCCTTTTGAATTACGGGGACACTGAAAATGTCCTCATAAATCACCTTCTCGTTGTAATACCTGAAAATTTCCTCATAAATCACCTTCTCATTGTAATACCTATGTCATACCCATGTTATTATACAAATTTGTGTCCTCATAAACTACATAAACATGCGCGCACACACACACACAGGCTCATTGAACATATAAGTCAGGTAGGCTTTGTGTGTGGCCTTTGACATCACCAGCCTGCTGGTGTCGTCAATCCTGATATATGAAACAGCACCGTAAGCCAGTTCCGAAGCAACGGAAAAGTGATGGAGCTGGGTCAGTAACAGACAACTAGGCTTATCCACTGACTTGACATCAAATGTGAAGCAATCTCTTTCTATATCCCAAAGGACGCCCAGTGTCCGTTCAAATGGCAAATACTCTTGGTCAAGGTTTACCTCATGTAACGATTTTGCCCAATCATCAGCTGGTATTGAATGTTTTGTGGCGGGTCGACAGCTGGCTCATCTTCAGTAGCTTGATTAGTAGATTGGCTTCTTTCGTTGTTAGAAGCTATGATAGCAGAGTGTAGCCAACTGTTGTGCCTTTTCCCGCATCCAGGCACCTTGCATACCCAGCTGCGAGAACAGATTGTGCTGCGATGACCCTTCATAAAGCAGTTCAGGCAGAGTTGCTTTCGCTGAACAAAGGCCAAACGCTCTTGAACAGACAAAGCTCTAAAGGCTTGACACTGGTTCAGGAAGTGTCCGTCAGTGCACTTTGGACATTTAAATCTTGAAGTTGTCTTTGGTGCAGATGATATGGTGGATTCATTAGTAACTGACACTGTTGCGAATGTCTGCCTTTTCTTATTGAAGCTTGACTTGGCATTTGATTTAGAACTCGCTGGAGATTCCCAAAGATAGGATCAGCTCTCTTAGCGGCTTCAGATTCAACAAGACTGACTATGTCATCCAACTTTGGTAAATGCCCAGATTTGATAATCTCATAATTTATTGTGAGCCATCTTTTCTTTAGGTCTTCAGGCAGCTTTTCTATAATCTGTAGCAAAGTGTGTCCACCATTTAGCTCATCCTCACACTTCATTGCCTTTAGAGTGTCTCGACAGCTACACAGAATGTCTGCAAAGCTTTGCAACTGCTTGTTGTCTTTAATGTCTTTGTGATTGAGCACTTTGTCGACCCATGCTTGTGATATTGCATATGGATTGCCAAAACGTCTTTTCAGAATAGCCATGGCTTCTGCATAGCCCAGGCTAGAGTCAGGGTTGTACAAGCAGTGTGAGATAGCATCTCTAGCTTGACCGACAGTGTACTGATGCAGACGAGTGAGTTTTTCTTGAACTGGCACTGTCTCTTTGTCAATCACTGAGGAAAACA